TTGCAGACCTTTATCAACAACTGTCTTCGCTCTATACTGAAGATCAGATGACCGGAAAGAATCACCAACAAGAAACTATGGGAACAAACGAAATAGGAACCAATCGCTGAACAAATATGCAGGAGAAAGTGGAGATGGATTGGACAGTCGCTGAGGAGGCCGTTGGGTGACATCGCGCGTCAGGCCATAGCTCGAGTGGAACCCGAAAGGGAAGCGTCGAGTGGGACGTCCAAGAGTGACATGGAAGAGATCGTGGGAAGAGGAACTGAAACAGTATGGACTAACATGGATGCAGGTGAAAAGTACAGCAGAAGACAGAAGCAAGTGGAGGCGTGTAGTTGAAGCCCTATGTTCCACTAGGAACCCAAGGGAACAATAATAAATAATAATTCAGAGTGGGTATGAGGACAAGTACTTGTCGATAACATTGGCTGATGGTCGCGCTAAAGTCGTGAACTGACAGACGTTAGGATTCATGGATTCCGGCTCAAGTGGAAGATTGGTCAATCAGCTTGACATCATAACCTGAGGGTCCCAGATTCGATCTCCAACAGGATCATGGGAGCCAAAGCAAGACGAAGTAATCGGCCAGTACTCCTTGGCTTCCAATGGTATTCTAACTGACACTAATCTGTAATCAAACTTGAGATAATTTTAGTGTTTCACACTGGCAACTGATGAATATTCCAATTAAGATAAGCAATGAATTATGGTGGTGTATAATTTATACAACCTAAGGATATTTAAAATCTTTTTGACAAAATCTTTTCCATTCTTACTCACCGTTTTAAGTAGCCTAAAACATATTAACAACCTAATTAAAGAAAATACGGATAAACTGCTTAACAGAAGTGTGTATTTCACATCAATAATTATGATAAGTATAATAAGACGCTTTTACATCTTTCTTTCGTTAGCCTTTGAATGTAATATTAGCGTAATGACGAAATAGTTAGGTTAAGTGAAATCCAATCCCAATGACGTACATAATCAGACAGTAATAATAATAATAATAAACTGTTGCCCAGTCTGGCGTATGATATGCAACCAAATTAAGTTTTTAACCATTCACCTTCATTTGTTACCTTGAAAAAATTGTCTGTCTGTTAAAAATGAAAACTAGTTAAGATTTCTATGATATTATTGTCTTACAGACATGATTTTATCTTTTTTTCATCAGTTAGAAATATTACTGAAGGTTATTACGTTTTTAGGTGACGGTGCGCTTTTCTTCTGTGTGTGTGTGTGTTTGTGTGAATTTCTTTATGTGACTAAATTACAGTCTGATCATGAAATTCAGTGGAAATAGTCAGCTGGAGTGTTTCACAAAAATTGAGAGTGCTTCAACTAGCAGCCAACTGAACAATAGGAATGCTGAATAATGTTCGAACAGTTATTCAAATGCAGTTATTCTTGAGACTTCAGAAATTATATTCCATTGCTTTTAACTCATTTACATTAATCCTTAAGAGTTGTCCAGCTAAAGATGAACTACAGTTAGTTTCCTGGTGACTATCAACAAAAAATATTCGGAAGAATGACAGCTTTCAGATTCGATAATGCTTAATTTATTAAGGCAAGTAATGAATATCCGTTTCCAATAGCGTTGTGCAGAAACTCAACATGTACGAATAAGAAGTTGAGATGGAAATAATAACTTATTCATATTTAAGTTCAACACTCACTTTTTCAATTTAGACAGAGACGATTAAGAAACACTGATGATAACAAATTTACAGTAACAAAGTTTAATCTTAAAACACCTGAATTACGACATTTGATGCTGAAAGCAAGTCGGTGGGAATATCTACGTTTGGAGCTTTCCATGGAAAGAATATTTACTATCTGGGGAAAACTCATGTTTTCGAGATTCCAAATCTTCTTTCTTTGACTGCTACTATCAGATCCTAATCATATCTGCTTAGGACTGACCCCACCGATCATGTTCTCATCATCTTATTTAAATTAGTGACATTTTTGCATCCTTGATCTATGGAATACATGTTAAACAGTTAGTGTTTATAGTAACTCAGAGCCTTGATGGATTATGAGTTTGATTCTCAGTGGAAGTATAAATTCACTGAGATGCAGTCCAAAGTAAGTTAGGCGTCGTGAGTTCCACTACAGGTTATCACTACTTTCGTAACTGAGATAATACTGGATTTTTCACTTCAGCACAATAACATTATACAACTGATCACTTGACTATTATTCCCAAACTGGAAAAACGCAGTAGTCTGACTGGGAAGGCAAAGATTTATTTCTTCATGCAAAAGGCAGTATTACTAAAAGTTACAGCTATTTATGCATTTGTTTTACATAATCACTTAATCATTAATTACGAATAGAAACTCTCTGATCTGACTTTTAATCTAACTTAGGGTCAGATATCTAGTTTCGATATCACGTAAACAAAGAGTCATAATATACCTCCTCCTGTCTTACAACTGTGTTCATAATTTTGTAGCAATGTCTCATTTAACAGCGGAATGTTTGCTCAAGCTTTTAAAAAAAAGTGAATTACTGGTCGGGAAAAGTATTTTCGGAAGTTTAAATTGAATAATTTTTCATCATGAGCTGACATTGGTTAGAGAACCTTCGGAAAACCTGGCAGTGCTGGACAATTGTTTCGTCCTAGTTTGGGACACTTCAACAGTACGCACCCGCCAGGGTTCGAAAGCGGGACCTTCTGGTTACAAGGCGCGCTCGCAGACCATTAACGCCACTGGGCCATTGGATCGGCATACTGATGAAGAGTCCCAAACCAGGACGAAACAGCTGTCCAGTACTCTCAGGTTTTCTAATGGTTCTCTAACCAATGTCAGCTCATCATGAATAATTTTTGTTTTTGGATATTTAGCCTAAGATGAAATTCAGACTCTGTTTTATTCTAAATTTATTCTCTGGTGAAGTATGTGGTGTTGAAACTTCCTATTATTAAAATTCAGAGGCTGGTTTGAAACTGGACGTGAGTAGTAGCACTGTACACTTATTGTTTTTATGTATCGCTTCAATTATGTGCATATAATCTTTTAAACAAGATTGTCTAGGACAAAAATATAAGATTCATATAATTAAAAGTGTACTACAAGAAGTTAGTGCAATGGCCTTCTTTCCAGGTGAAATTTTTCCTATAAGATTAAATTCCCTTTAAAGAACTGTTTTAAAGATTACTTCTGAAAAAAAACCTATTTGTATATCATAACCATTGAAATAACGAATAAAACTATTAATCTGAGATGAATCATATGGAGGAGATCGTGTGATGAGGAACTGAAACAGTACGGATTAACATGGATGCAAGTGAAAAGTACAGCAGAAGACAGAAGCAAGTGGAGGCGTGCAGTTGAAGCCCTATGTTCCACTAGGAACCCAAGGGGAACAATAATAATAATCATTGTAAGCGATCTGTGCTACACAGATCATCAGAATTTGTACTGATTTCCTGTCAGCTCAGCTTAAAATAGTTCGTACACGTTCTTATCTAACTTCTGAAATTATAAAAGCGATATTAGATGGTTGAAGGCAATCAGCAATCAGCCATGGGATTAGGTTTCGTGCTAGTTGGCACTCATCAGCAAGGTGTGTCTGCAACCTTGAAGGAACTCGTGTCTCTTCTGAGACTCGAGCCCGCATCACCCAATGCTGCAGTTTGACCTCCTGCAGGACTGTATTGGATACTTTGACTGGACACTAGTCACCAACTAGTGTTAATAAAAGCGAATTACATGAAGAATAATGCATGACTTTCTTCAAAATGATTCATTGTCTCATAGTCATAAAACCAGCTGAATGGATTGATGTTGCTTTTAAAACATATTGATACTTTCTTTACTATTTGTCAGTTTGTATTTTTTATTTATTGCACAAACTTGGAAAAGATGTTATTTTTAGATACTTTATTTTATCTCATCATTATTCTAGTCAAGAGTTTACTTTAGTCACAGAACAGATAGCAGTCTAAATAACAGTAGACACCTTTACGTTTACTACTTATGTTTTACAATGAACTATCCTACTTCTATTTCAACAGTCACTAATATTTAACAGTACTTTATTGATAAGATCATGTAATATTAAACCTCACCAATCACTAAATGTCTAAGGAAATTGTTTGTTGAGCGCCATTTTTTCCATGGTGATGACAAAAATATTATTTCATCGGCGAAGAATATTCACACCAATAATGAGTACCTGTACTGTTGTTTAGCATTTATTATATTTCAGAAAACGCGTAACTTTGTGTATACTTTGTAATATGTTATTATTCAATGGTAGAATGCTTGGTAGCCGAGTCAAATCTCCCGGTTTGACTCCTAGGTGACACACCACTCAACGTCGTCTAGTTTAGTATTCGGTAGCTAGCTAGTAAAAGAAAGAAGGTTAGTCTGGAACCTAGCGATCCCACAAACACGCTGCAACTGATTCTTTAAAGTTCGATGTCCTACGTTTCAGAGAATGAAAAAATACTCTGATGGTAAGAAAATGAAATCAGTTATAAATGATAATTTTACTAGAAAAATGTGTGGATTTATTCAAAGATAATATCACTTTCCTGGTAAAGTCGAGGTTAGCATTCAGCAGACGAATTTCAGGGATTAACACTATAAATCTTACCACTGTCTTTTACCATCTAGTCTGTCTTTATAAAATTATTTGTATGAGGTAAATCTTGGCGTAAATTTTGAATAAAATGTATCTCTTGACTGTAATGGTAATCTAGTGATGATATCCAGTGTATGCTACTAACAACAACGGACATAAGTAGTACACAGTATTACCTCTTCAAGAAAAGCAATCATAATGTACGTGTAACTGGAAAATCAGAAATGTATCCACCCCATACATTTTTGAAAAGACACTTTTGAGGAAAATGGAAACTGAGTATTACATTTTTCTCAACAATTGAATTTTCTATTCTATTTTTAAAATGAAATTAGAGTTTTTGCCGTTTTAACCAATCTTTGACTTGCTTTTTCTTTTCTGTTTTCCTTCTCAAGCCGTTAAAAGCACTAGCTGATGTTGTCTTAGAAGAAAGACGCTTGGAAGCTGAAAAGAAAGCTGCTGAAATTGCTGAAAAGGAGAACAGGCGTAAAGCAGCTACTACAATTCAAAGTTTATGGCGTTCATGGAAAGCACGTAAAACTATTAAAGCTCAACGTAAAAAGAAAGGAAACAAATATGCATTTATATAAATAAAAATGAAACACTAGAAATCAATATCTCAGTTCTAGATGTCAAATGTTAAAAGGAAGCAAAAGTCAATGATACTTTTTTTGTTGAATGCTTACTGGTATATAAATATGCAAATAAAGATAGATCATGTACAATGAACATTTCTTATTAGAAGACGAAAGAGTCCTTCTATTTATAACTAGTTATTATAATACTCCAAATAAAACCAATGTATGCTGTCAAGAAAAATATTCACTTTCTCTATTGGGCAGTAGTATTTACTTATACTAGGATGGTTTTTCACGTTGTGAGAAATATCTGAAGTTTCAATGGACTTCACGTATCTACATGTATCAGTAGACGTCTTGCTGCAAGTAAACATCCTTCTTACAGGACTTTCAGCTAACTGTTTCCGGTGTCTTGAGACTAACTATTATATTAGTTCACCATCTGCTGTAAAAGCGATTCCCAAAGGACACGCCTCCAATTAGATGGATTAATTAGCAGATAATGTCCCTGAAGTGTTATACACCTCGTGAAACTCATATTTGCTTAATGATTATATTCTTTACAATATGATAACTTGATAAAAACTTGATAAGCCCAGTGATATCTACACCAAGAATATACAGGAAAATTCTTCCCATATGTGTTTAAAGATAATCGTTTTATGGCAGTTCGTTTTGTTTCCCGATGTATTATTATTATTTCCTTTAGTTCCTAGAGGAACATAGGGCTTCAGCAGCACGTATCCTTTGCGTTTGGTTCTCCACCAGAGTTTTCACCTGGCTCCACCTCTGTCCACATGCTTTCAGCTCCTCTTCACAGTACCTCCTCCATGTCACTCTAGCACTGACGACCAACTCGCCGCTTCCCATTCGGCCAGATTCCACTCGAGCGATGGCCTGGCGTGTGATGTCACTCACTTGATGGCTTGTTTTCTAAGAGTATGGCCACTCTACCTCCATTACTTCCTGCAGATTTGTTGCACAATCGGTTCCTGGTTGGTTCGCTCCCAGAGATCTCTGTTGCTGATCTTTTCTGGCCGGCCATCTGATCTTGAGCGAAGTATTGAGTGAAGACAGCTATCGATGAAGGTCTCTAATTTGTTCTAAGTGCCCTTCGTGACGCGCCACGTCTCTGATCCGTATAGTAGCACTGACTTCACATTGGAGTTCAAAATCCGGATATTATTTTGTATGTTGAGTGCTGTTGATCTTCACACAGATGTGAGAAAAATGGAAGCTTGCCTTGCTTTCCCGATCCTCGCTTTGATATCCTCGTCAGTTCCGTCCCCCTGTAGTTGAAAAGATGCTTCCCAGGTAGGTGAAGAAGGTTGCTTCTTTCAGATTCGTACCATTTGTGCTGATTGCTGTCTGTTGTTGTTACTGTGGCTGTTGCTGCTGGCCAGGAATCTTCATCACCTCTGTTTTCTCTATGTTCACCTGAAGTCCTATCTTTGATGCTTCTTCTGCCAACTTGTTGCTTTTCACTTGCATATCTTCCAGTTTGTGGGAAATTAGACATATATCAATGGCGAAGTCCAGATCCCCTAAGTTGTTTTGTGTGGGTTCATTTTATGCCTGTTTCCTCGCTGCCTGCTATCTGTCGCATTTTCTCAATGTACATATTAATTTAAAAGTATTTTAAGACATATTTCATTTATCATGTTACTCCTGATCCTATAAACGGTATGCTTTTGAAAGCACAGTTACTCGTCTTTTACTAAAGATAAGAATAGACAGTATAACAAAGAATAGTAGAGTTCTGCTACGTCTGAAAAGACTTTCGCAAAATTTTTAAGTGAGTATAAATTTTCAGGCACCTCAGAAAGGCATCTACTGTGGTGTTCACCTACTGCTTCTCATTTCTCACCCGTGACTTTTTACTGTCAATATAATTTCATAAGTTCAACATAATGCTCTTCTATTCTGTTCTTTGTTCACTAAATCCTTCATGCATCATCTTACATACATTTTGGTATAACTCTCAGTTTTCTGTTTTGAAAATTTTAAACTATCGCAATTCTACATCACAGTAGATTCCACTGTACTGCGGGTGAATCATTTTTCTTCCCCTGTAAAAACGTATATTCATTTGATTGTATGTAATTGGACAGCTGGCATGAAATCATTACGTTAGACATTTCACCTCCAAATCAGTCCAAAGTGTGCATAAACGATTTCTTTTGAACTTTAAAGAAATAAAGGATGGAGATCAGTCAGCGTAAGACATTTTGATGTGTTTGATATGATTTCTTCCATGACAAAAGTAGCGAAATAGAATGTGATACATTATGTTTGTTAAGTAAATAAATAAACTCTGCACGAAATGAGGTTTTCGTTATTACCTTGATCAGTATCCTTACTAATACATGTAGTTGTCCTGGTCGGATTCTCATTGTCTGTTGAATAAGTCACTGCCTAAAAGTAACGACTGTATTCCCCTATCCGAACTACTTACTGTCTTACTGAACTTTAGGACTATGGAAACACATTTTTTGCATTCAAATAAGGTTGTGCTAGACCAAGGACAAAATGACTGTTACTGGCTGGTAAGTTCAAGCAGCTGACTTGAAATCAGTGTTATCCTGCCTGCGCGATAATCTAAGCCAAAATCGAACAAATTAAGCTTTTTTATTGATGACCTATCGCATTAAATGTATGCATTTCTGGTAGTTTATGTTTCAGCACAGTTTGTCTAGGGGCAGTCGGATAAACTTTGCCTAAAAGCAATACCCGTCCAGCTGGCATAAATCTGTCGAACTTAAGACTCTGTGCGATAGTTTTACTATCTATTATGATAGTGGTATTACACTCTGTTCTCTGCTACTACCATAACTCACTTCTACTGGTTTCCTTTATCATTTGTTTATTTACCTGATGAATATTCTTCAACCTGAAGTCTCCAAAGTAAGGTATCCGAAAGAGAAACTCATGGCCATAGTTATTCCGGTGTTACCAAATAACCTGCAGAAGTTAATATTATAACCAAACCTCTTGAGAATCCAGGGGGGAGAATGTCTGTATGTCACAGATGTTTAAAAGAAGGATGTATTTGAGAACCAGTAGTGGAGTTCTACATCTCAACAAGCAGATGATGTGGATGTAATAGACTCAATGATTGATACAAAAATGTGAATCTGTGATCTGTTCGTGATTTTAGTGAAACTTGTCCATCGTGCTATACCTATTATGATAGAGTAAGCAAAGGCACAAACACCAGCTATGCATTTTAGTCACCAGTCTTTATGATTCTCAACTGGTTAACGAAACACATCCTGTGGGAATTACACAATCGGCAGGAGTTCCCCAGATAAGGATGGTCACGAAATTGCTCGTGGTGGAAATGCGAGAAGACAGCTCCTTGAAGAGTGAAGCAACATACCTACACATAAGGATCAACAAGATAGCTCTATTTTAAAGATAACGGGAAGCTGACTGGGCAAATGCCCTGAGTTGAGAAAATATAAAGAATATAAAATATATTATTGTTTATCATAGTGTTTAAGGGTTATTAGGTAAAGTTAGGACGTTGCAAATCCGATAAGGAGAAATGTTAAAATATTAAACTATTCACCTTTTTGATTCAAATTTTAGGTAGATATCAACTCTGTACTATATTAATACACATAATACTAACAAGTGACTGAAGAAAGCTACGTTTTCACACGCACCATGTTTACCTCCACTCTAATAAGGAATTAAAATTATAGGTTCTTGAGATCTTAAAGAAACACTGTTGATGAAGAGGGGAATGTATCGCACAGTTTAATCACTTTTTTAAAGAATGAAACAGAGTGCAAAATATAGATCTCTAATGAATTCCACACATCTAATTGGTTTAACTTACTTGAAGCCAGGTATAATATAAAAGATTTTCTGGACGCTATTTCTCCATATATGAGCTACTAGCAGTTACTGATGGAGGACAGTGATAGAGAGGAAACAGCATTCATTGTTTGTCAGAAACAACTTGATTACAAAACTTTTGCATTGTTTTTACTGGCATTTTGCTATTCGATACTAACAGTCTTATGAAGGTAATATTAAACCAGAATTTACGAAATCTCAGCTTATGTATAGTAACCAAATTATAGTTGTTTGGCATGAGGTAATTTTACATTGTCAGGTGGATGAACTGGTAAAGATAACAAACTATGTGCAGACTGTTGAATTTCATGATGAAAGCACTAATAACATTTCAGTTAACTTAGTCAATTTATGGGGAGATTGAGGTGTAGAATCCAGGTTAAAGTCTGTCTTTATCCTTAATTCATTTTTAGACAGTTTAGATTGCCTTTAATATAAAATGCTTCTGATATGAAGCATTCTTTGTGATTTTAGAAATTTTCCGAATGATCTGAATATTATCAAATTCGATATTGTCACCCAAATCCTGTAGCTTGTAAACCTATTGCCGACAATTTTATGTGCTCTTTACGTCCTACTAGATTTCTCAGTGGTTGGTCACAGACTCTCTGGTGTTCGTTTCTTCTAACCTTGATTTCTCGCGATGTTTGTTGGATATATATTGCATCTCATTTTTAGTAATTTTTTTAATCCTCCTGAATTCGACCTTTCACAAGAACAAGACTTCTCTTTAACATATCCGATGTTTTGACAAAAAGTGATGTTGCATTTGTTGAGTACTCTTCTGATCTCGTCATGTCTAATCTATGTGGAATAACTGCTGTGGTTCATTTAATCGAGGTAGGTTTACGCTCATTTTTAGTGTTGGTGATGAGTTTGTCAATAAAATTAATTCGGATAGTTATTTGATGTTTCTTCTCCTTTTTCGTTTTCATCTCCTATCATAGGGTGTCCTCTTGTAAAAAGGCTTGAGATAAGTGATGCCTACGCGCTGATGGGATGTGAAGATTCGAATTCCAAATATTTGCTGGAGTTTTTTCTCCCTGAATATAAACATATTGAAATACCCGCTTTTCTTTCCGCTCAACTAAGCAGTCTAAGAAAGGCAGCTCACCTATTTCTGACTCTACTTTGAATGATTACTGTTT